TCCCAAATACATCGTGAGAACAACCGCAGCGAGAGCGTGATTCCTGAGCGTCGGGGGCTCGTAGTATGAATCAATTGCGAGGAGGTCCCACGCGAGAGCGCGATTCCTGTATAACTTGTTAGGACGTCCCGCGCGAGAGCGCAAACTGGGAATACATTGTGAGGAAATATCAGGCGGGAGCCGTTGTTGTTGTGAACCCCGGGCCGGTGGCGCAGTTTGGTGACACCCAGTTTTCCGTTGTAGAAAATTGGGTGCGAGGCCTGTGAGAAGCATTTGAATTGAAACATGCAATAGTTTCTGGGCAAGGGGATCAACCATATTTATTCTTTAGGATTGAGAATGCAACAACAGCAGCAACAACACCACAAACAACAACAATAACAGCAACTCAAACAACAACACCAGCAACAACAACTCATTTTAGGACTGTTCGCTCCTATCACCTCGTTAGCGCAGCCCCTAAAACAGGTGAGGAGAGGACGGATGGAAGGCGGAGATAGAGAAGGATGGAACACAAGAAAAATCAGCAGGAGGGAGGCTTGGAGCAGGCAGCACGTGGCAGAACCAGACGGGCAGATCGGGCGGGCAGAGTCTAGCAGGCTGGTCGGGAAGGCGGGCCCAGGCCGCCATGTCGAGCAGGCGGGTTGCTGAAGCGTGCGTCCTCAATGAATCGCGAGGCAGTCTCGAGTAATAGCGCGAACAGCGACAGCATGAGTCCTGAGCGTCGGGGGCGCGGCGCATGAATCAAGCGCGAGGAAGTCCAACGCGAGAGCGCGATTCCAGTGTAAGTTATGGTGAAGACCCGCGCGAGGGCGCGATTTGGGAATTTAGTGTGAGGAAGTATCCGGCGGGAGCCGTTGTTGTTGTTGTTGTTCTTGTTGTTGTTGTTGTTGTTGTGAACGGGGGGCCACGGGCGCAGTCTGGTGACACCCAGCCTTCCTCTGTAAGAAGATAGGGTGCAGGCACCCTGGGAGGAGCGCTTCCGTTGAGACGTGCAGCGGTTACCGGGCAGGGGGATCAACAACAGTGGTTTTTCAAAAGTAAGAATTCAACCATTACGACAGAACTATCAACAACAACAAGAGCACCACCAACAACAGCAACAAGAGCAACAACAGCAGCAGCAACAACAGTAACAGCAGTAACAAACCGGATCGTTCTTACCTGCTCGCGGGCCATTCAACATGTGTATCCTAACGCTGGATGCCCACCCTCTCCGTCTTCGATCGCACCCCCTTGGGGGTATAAATCTTTCTTACGTGCATCGTGTATTTCGTGCAGCCCTTAAGGCAGGGGAAGAGGACTAATGGGAGGAATGGAAACGGGGGAGGGAGGAGGATGGAGCACCAGACAGGGTAGCAGGACGGGGGCTAGGAGCAGAAAACACGTGGCAGAACCAGACGGGCAGATCGGGTAGGTAGACCTTAACAGACGGGTCGGGAAGGCGGGCCCAAGCGGCCACGTCGAGCAGACAGGGTGCTGAAACGTTTGTCCTGCATTACTCGCGAGGAGCTGTCGAACGACAGCGCGATTCCCAAATATATCGCGAGGAGGAGGACGAAGAGGAGGAGGAGGGAGGAGGGAAAAACGTCGCATTCGATTCTCAGAACTTTCCTGGCGTGGCGTTTAGTTGTCCGCAGCAGATCCTGACGTACATGCTCCTTCTACCTGTGCTATGCGCGCAGGCACTGTGGTGTACACCAGCGCTGCGTTGCACGCGGATGTTGTGGTGTAGACAGGCGCTGTGGCGTGCACAGGCGCTGCGGTGCACGCAAGCACTGTGGTGTACACAGGCGTTGTGATGCACATGGCTGCTGCGGTGTATGTACACCGGCGCTGTAGTGCTCCCAAGTATTGTGGTATACGCGGGCGGTGCGTTGCACACGGCTGTTGCGGAATACGCAGGCGCTGTGGTGCACGCGCGCGGTGTGGTGCACGCGAGCGTTGTGGTGCACACAGGCGCAATGGGCAGATCGCCACCTACATGCTGCTCGCGTCGTCGTCGTCGCTCGTCGCTCGTCGCGTCGTGCGCGCGGGCGCGGCTGTGGTGCCGGAGCCACACGGCGGGGGGGGGGGCGTCACGTCATACCCCGCCCCCGCCCCCCCCCCCCCCCATGACGCCCGTCATCGCCAAACATAAAGAAACGCGTTCTAATACGAACAAAAAAGTGTTAATAAGAATCCGACAACGATTCGCCCGAACAATTACAATACGAATGCTAGTACTACGAATGCGAATGGCAACGCTCAGTTTAAGACTGTTTGCTCTTATCTGCTCGCGGGACCAACTGTAATTATTCATCATAAGTGAGCATTCAACAAAACAAACAACAGCAGCAACAATCACAGTCATTGTAAGACTGCCCGCTCTTATCTGCTCGCGTGCTATTCAGCATGCGCACCCCGAACTCTCGATACCCGCCCTTTTCGTTTTCGATCGTACCCCTTGGGTGTATTTATTGCTTTACCTGCAGCGTGTATTTCGTGCAGCCCCTGAGGC